CAACAAGACCCCTCACTTGGTGAGGTGGGGTGGAGGCATAGGAGCGGCCCTCCTCGGCCCTAACAGTCATCTCCCCACCCCCTCAGTATCTTCGACCGGGAGGATGAGGCCAGCCCGCGGCCTGGCAGCCTAGCGGCGCTGGAGAAACGCCAGGCGGAGAAGAAGAAGGAGCTGATGAAGGCACAAAGCCTGCCCAAGACCTCGGCCTCTCAGGCCCGCAAGGCCATGATTGAAAAGCTGGAGAAGGAAGGCGCCGCGGGGTGAGCATCAAAGTGGGGAGGGGCGGGGCCTAATGACTGCAAGGGGCGGGGTCTGGATAGTGGTGGGCGGGGGGGGGGGCAGAAACGGGAAGAGCGAGGCTGGAGCTGTGGTGGGAGGGGCCTGAAGGTAAAGAAGGTGGGCCCAGCGAGTAGGCACCCCAATACTCCTGTGACCCTGCTCCTGACACCACCCCTGCAGCAGCCCTGGCGGACCCCGTGCAGCTGTGCAGCGCTCCACCAGCTTTGGGGTCCCCAACGCCAACAGTATCAAGCAGATGTTGCTGGACTGGTGCCGAGCCAAGACGCGTGGCTACGAGGTGAGCTCTAGGAGACCAGGTGGCCCAGCGGGCCACCCCTCCTCTCTGACCCTCGCTGCTCCCATCCCCCAATCCCAACTGCAGTCACCCTCACAGCCACCATGCCTGGCAGGGAAGATGGACATTCCTCTTCTGGGATGAAACAGACTCACAGAGGACACATAACATGCCCTTGATTCCAGAATAAGTGATTAAGTGGCAGGGCCTAATGAGGGCCCTTGGATGGTGGGGATGGTTCAGGCCAGACCCCACCCTTGAAGTTCCCTCCTCATTGCTCTGTGGGGGGCATTGGGTAAATTTCTATACATAAGGGAAGGAGTGATGAGGGCATGACCATGGCCTTAACTAGGTGGTACTGGGCCTCTTGGTTGCTCTGTCCCCTAAGTAGCAGACATGGGAGTCAAGGAACTGCTTTGGAGGAGGTTCATGTTCCCACTGCTCACCGGCTGTGCAGCCTTGAGCAAGCCACAGGGCCTCTCTGAGCCCTGTCGCACTAGGTCTGGAATGCCACAGTACTGGAGGGTGAGGGGCATGGGGGAGCTGACAGTCCTCTTACTACCCATAGCATGTGGACATCCAGAACTTCTCCTCAAGCTGGAGTGATGGGATGGCCTTCTGCGCCCTGGTGCACAACTTCTTCCCTGAAGCCTTCGACTATGGGCAGCTCAGCCCACAGAACCGGCGCCAGAACTTCGAGGTGGCCTTCTCATCCGCTGAGTAAGTGTGGGCCCCAGCCCTGCTGGTGTCGGCTGGGTGTCTGGGGCTGGGCATCTGGGCCAGGCCCATCTGCCCCAAGGCCCCCTGGAGCTGGCCAGCCACACTGTCATTCAGCGATTGAGAACCCCTTCCCCAGAAAGTCCCCGTCCTCTTCCACCCCACCCACCTGCTGCTGAGCGTGCCAGGTGCCCGCCGGAATGAAGGAGCCGGAGGCCCGCCTACCAGCCCGGGCCAAGGCCCACCAGGTGGCCCTGTCCATATCCCCTCCATCCCAACCCTCTGCCCCCTTCTCCCTCTCTCCCTCCCTTTCTCTGTCCTGCTCTCCTCCCACTATCACCAGAGCTTCCTGCTCCCACGGGATCCCGGCTGGAGATTCCAAAAGGAGGCTCCTGGCCCGGGCCCCGTGCCCGCCCAGCCTATATAGGTGTTGCCAGAGGCTTATATAGGACATCAGCAAGCCCTCCACTTTGGAATCGTTGCCCCGTCTGCTCACTTCACCCTCAGCACCCTCCTCCATCTGTCTTCCCTTCTCTACCTTTCTCTTTCTGGTTCCCCTAGAGTTTTCCTCTTTCTCCTCCCTCCACCTCCTCTCACGCCTCCCTCACCCCCACTCCCTGGGGCACAGCCCTCCTCTCCAACCTTGGCGTCAATGCCAACACCATTGCCCCCACCCCGCGTTCCCTCCCGCTTGCCCCGAGAGTTCTCTGCACCTGTGACTGATCTGGCCCCCACCCCTGTCTGCATCGCACACCATTAGTGATGGGTAGTGAGCGGCACGTCCACGATGGGGAGGGGGCATGCGGGGGGCTGGCAGACTGCAGCACTGAGAACGTAACTGAACTCATGTCTCTGTGTGTGTGTGTATGTGTGTGTCTCTCTGTTCTCCTCCCCTCTCTCTTCTCTGCCTCTTCCCCACCTACCCCGCTCGGGCCCCATCCCCTGCCCCTTCCCGGCCCCCTACCCTCCCCAGGACCCATGCGGACTGCCCGCAGCTCCTGGACACAGAGGACATGGTGCGGCTTCGAGAGCCTGACTGGAAGTGCGTGTACACGTACATCCAGGAGTTCTACCGCTGTCTGGTCCAGAAGGGGCTGGTAAAAACCAAAAAGTCCTAACCCCTGCTCGGGGCCCCACGGTGAGGAACGCCGCCTTGCTCGCCTGCCCAGTTACGCCGGAATCTGCTCAGTGGGGCACAGAGAGAAGCTGGGGAGATGGCGGGGGAAAGAAAGGGGAACCTGAGAAGAGCCAGAAGGAGCCAGACATGGCCCTGTCTTCTGGTTGTTCAGGACCTAGCAGTCAAGAGCATTCTCCTAAATGGGCAGTGATGGCCCAGGTGAGCAGGATTGAGGTGGAGGAAGCCCAGGAGGCCAGGGGAACCCGGAGGAGGCACCTGGCCCTGTGGGCAGGTCCAGGACAGTGATCTGAAAAAAGTACAAACTAAGCTGGGATCTGAATGACCAATTCAGGCTAAAGGAGGGAGAGGAGATACCCAGCAGAGGGACCAGCCTATGTACGCGGATGGGGTCGAGGGAGCTGGAGGCCATGGTACACCCAGGAGGGGAAGGAAGTTTATTTAGTCTGGGTGAAGAGGGAGGAAGGGGTCACGGTCAGGAGTCTGAACTTCCTTCTGAGGACAACAGGAGTCATAAAAGATTTCCAAACAGAGAAGGGATGTATGTGGTCTGGTGGCATTCTAGAACAATCCTGGGGTGAGGCCTGGATGAGGGAGGGAAATGGAGGGGACAGACTAGACAGCTAGAGAAGCTTAAGTGGAGAGATGGGCTTCCTGATGGATCTATTGGGGAGGGAGAGAAAGGATCAGGGAAGCCTCTCCGGCCTCCAGTTTGCACACTGGGGAGTTGGTGGTGCCATGCTCCAAGTTGAGAGGCTCAGGAGCAAGGCCAGTTTAACAAGAAGATGTTTCTGGTGGGGATCCTGGATTCCCAAGCCAGCTGTGGCATTTCCTGTCCAGATGCTTGACTCCAGGGCCACAGTAGAGAATTCAGATCCTGAGCTAACTGCCCATTACAGACCAGGAGCCCAGAGAAGGAGAGATTTGGGCTCAGAGAGTGCTAGGGGGTTTAGGTCAGAGCTGAGGCCAGAAACTGGATCTCTAGACCCCCCAATTAGCAGCTCTTTTCCTTGCCCCATCACTGTCCCCACTCATTTTGTAGAGAGAAGAAAAGACAAAGGCCCGGAGGGAGAAGGGGGATTGCCTGAAGTACCTGAGTCAGGGACAGAGCTAGCAGTGCATTCAGATGCCCCTCGGGGCCTGGAACCATTGTAGGGTGCAGCCCGCATGTGCACACATACGCTCAGAGAGGCCGTGCAGGTGAGGGGAGGATGGGCTTGGTGCTGTCTCCAGGTCATATATGGACTTAGGAACTGCTGCCCAGCAGGCCAGCCTGGAGGGAGAGGGGCCCAGCCCGGCCTCGATCCAGCTGGAAAGTGTGACTCAGCCGTACTGTTGCTCGAATAGCCTGGTGTTTGGCCTGTCACTGGGGCAGCTGGAGCCCTGAGCCGTGAGCCCCGGTGTAAACAATGGCTTTATAAGGTCTCCAGGGAAGACACCAGAGGTGGGAGGGAGCTCCATGTTGGGGGAGGCCGGGATCCCTGGGGAGATGGCCACAGCTGGAAGAAGCTACAGAGAGAGGCTGCCCCTTTGCCATAGTACAGCTGGTGAAACAAGCCCAAACTGGGGCTGAGATGACCCCAAGGGCACATAGCACATCAGCAAGAGAGTCAGGAACCTCTCACTCATCCTAGTTGCTTCCCAGGATTCAAATGAGGCAAAGAATGACTATACTGTTGCTGTAAAGATGGGGAAACTGAGTCACAAGGCAGGGCTCCTCTAGCTTCCAGAGCTGGCCAGGAGTGGAGCCTTGACCTAAACAGCTCTCCTGCTTCCCAGGACTCCCTGAGAGAGTCCTGGTGAGCTGAGAGTAGGCCCTAGTCCTACCATGGTTTGACCTTGAAGGTTTGACCTTGGAGGCACAAGGTAGGAGGTAGTCCTGGGCCCTTGAGTATCTTGGAAACAGGAGCAATTCCTGCCCTTGTGCCTTCTCTGCCAAAGAAAACTCGCTTAACAGCATTGACTGTTTACTGTATGTCAGGCATGGCAGATGGGAGGGAGCAGGGTAGAAGAGGTCTTGCTCTGGGAGGGAGGGGAAATGAGGCTGGGGTCACCCTCCTGGCACTGTCAGTTGCTTAGTAGCTGCAGCCCACTCACCCTAGAGTGAGGAGAGGGCTTCTGCAATATGGAAGAAGGGGCCCCAGGCAGGTGCCAACACCCAGAGCTGGGGTCTGGATGCCATCAGCCCAGCTTTTCACCGACTAAGCTGTGGAGCTCGAAACAGATGACTCCGCTGCTATGTGACTCAGCTTCCCTCTGTGGAAGGTGCATCTAGCACTCTGGAAGATGGATAGAAGGGTGGTCCTGCCCCTGAGCATGACGTAGATGGTTCAGTCTGTATTGATTGGGACACTCATCTGCCTCCCCTGCCCTACCCAAGGGGGTAATAAGGGTTAAAGAATGGTCTCCCACACATACACAAACACCTCCCTGGACCGCAGGGTTGTCCTTTGAGACAGACAGGAGTTCCCAGGCTGCTCTGCAGGAGGTGCCAGGCCAGGGAGCTGGCAGATAATCTGGGGCCCAGAAGGTCACTGGAGAGGAGGGTCCTAGATGCAGGGAAAGATTTGATCCCCTTTAGGTACAATGGTCCAAGTGAGAGGCTTGTGCCAGCTGGTGTGCCATTGAGGGTGAGGAGACGGCCCGCCCTCCAGAGAGGAGTGGGCGGGGTCTGGAGTCAGGACGTCCGCAGGGCTTGGGGTTGAGACCCCGACACAGCACCGGGTCCGCTGGGATGGGGCAGGGCTCTCTTCCACTTCCACATACCTGGCCTGACTCCCCACAGGGGTGCCTCCAGGCTTGGGTGGGTGGGGCCTGGGGTTTCTGCCTTCCTGGAAGGCTTTTCCCCCATTCAGTTGATCAAGAGTCGAGTTTATGGAAGACCAGGAAGCTGCGGCATTGGAAAGACCTCCGGGTAGAGGGTAGCCGCAAGAGGCAGGGCCGACGCTGACAACGACCCCCGTGACCCCTCCCCGCAGGATGCTGGTGGACTGCGTGCCCCTGGTGGAGGTGGAGGACATGATGATCATGGGCAAGAAGCCCGACCCCAAGTGCGTCTTCACCTATGTGCAGTCGCTCTACAACCACCTGCGGCGCCACGAGCTGCGCCTGCGCGGCAAGAATGTCTAGCTTCCCCGCCCGCACGGCCGCCCGCGGCAAGCTACCCCCACCATCCAGGCACCATCCCCTCCCCTGTGCGCCTGCCCACCGCTGCCCTGTCTGTCGCGACACCTTCCCACGCATACACACGCAGCGTTTTGATAAATTATTGGTTTTCAACGACTCTGACTCCTCTCTGCCTCCCTTGGGGGTTTGAATGGAGGGCAGCTGGGCGAGGTGTGCCCACGTCCCCACTCTGGCAGCCAGGCAGCTGGGGATGCGGGGTCTCCCAGGGGTATTCGAGGAGCTCCTATTGCTCACCCGCCCGCAGCAAAGAAGGAGTCGAGTTTCAGTTAAGGCGAAAGGGGATTTAGTGGAGCTGGGGAGGGAAGAAAGAAGGGTTAGGAGGAACCCTCAACTCCAACCCTGCTGGCTCGGGGACGGGGCGTCGACCCTCAGCGAGGGAGGTGCTCCCGGGACGCTGAGCGCTTCATTCTGTCCCCAGGGCTCAGGCAGGGGGGTGCCGCGCTCCCAGATCTACAGGTCACCGCGGTCAGGAGCGCCTTCCGCGGGCCTAGCGGGCGCCCGCAGGTATTCCGGGGGCACAGGCTCGTCGGGCGCCGCCTTGCGGTAGAAGCCGAGCTCCTGCACCAGCGCGTTGATCTCCTCGCGGGTCATGTCGCTGAGTGGAATTCGCTGCAGCGGAGGTGGGGCGGAGTCAGCGCGCAGGGCCCCGCCTCTCGCCCCGCCTCCCAGTCCGCCTCCCCAGGCCTCACCTCCAGTTCCTCGAAGCGGTGGCCCAGCAGCACGAGCTCTGGGTCTGCCCCCGGGAGGTGTTTCATTACCAGGTTGTGGCTGGAGATGGTGTTAAGGTGGGTAGTGGTGGAGTGGGCGGAGGCAGATGGGGTCTCCCGGGGCCTTGCTGATGTGAACAGCACTACCGCGTCTGCCCAGGGAGGGTAGGAATCCCCAGTGACACTTGAGGAAATGGGGTTCAAAGAAATCAGAGGGTCTCCCTTCGGTTCCTGTATCTGTGACAGTCATCACTAGTCAATTTCTGTTGCCAACCCAAGACCACCTCAGAATTCTCTGGGCAGCCGCTCAATTAACCCTATTTGTCAGGTGAAAACCATTTGTCATCCTGATCTGTGAAGTTAAGTGGAAGAACCTTCTCCAGATCCCCTCCCCATCCTCCCTCCCCCAGCACAGTAGGCGGATACTAGAGTGGGATGTCCTGGGTGACGAAGGCCTTCACCTGGGGAGGAACCATAGCATCAGACCCCACCCCACTCCTGGTACCAACAGGAAGCCCAGTGAGGTCACACAGCACTCAGGCTGTGCAGGAGAGCAGGCTCCTGATTCCCAGCCCAGGGATCCTCCCCTACCCAGTCATTGGGACCATGTTGCCCCTGCCCCAGGAGGCTCAGAAGGGACAGAGCTGGGGACCCCTTACTTCAAACTCACCTCCTTCAAACGATTCAGCTGTCATCCCCCACAGGTCTGGAGGGGGACAAAATGGGATCGGTCAAGAGTCCTTCACGTCTCCCCTCACCCTCACTGCACCCTCCTCTCCCAGCTGGGAGTTGAGTGGAGCTGTGGATTACTCCCTGGAAGAGCAGTTCCCAAGGTGTAGAGATGGGGATCCCTTGTGGGCAAAAGGGGGAACTCTGTACAGACCGGGATGCTGAGGCCTAGCAAAACCAGAGGAAAAGAGGAGCAAGGCCAGAGACCCGAAGGGCACTCACCAGCCTTGGGGCTATTGCCTGCACACCATACTGACTGTTGACTCTCTCTCAAAGCCCAAAACAAATGGTCACCCTACTCCTCTAAGGAAGTAGAGACCTGGACCTGGCCTTTGGCCTCTAGAACCTCAGGGTGGAGGCAGGCCAGAAGGAAACGCTCAGAACTTCCCTAAGAGGCCCCATTAGAGACACCTACCATCTGGTCCCTACGTCACTCCATTCAGAGCTAGCCCTCCCTGCCACCTGCGGCCTAACCCTACAGATCACCTGGTTGCCCAACAAGGGAGGGTGGGAGGGCCCCTCCCTGTACTCTCCAGGGGGGAGCTACCTCCCAGCAGGGGCCTAGACCCTAGGACCACCCATTCTAGTCCTCCCTCCTCCTCCTCTTCCTTTTTTCAGACAGAAAACTAAGGCCCAGAGAAGGTCTGTGAGGATCCAAGTCACACAAGAACACAGGGACCTTGGCGGGGGCATTTCCTGGCAGGGAGTGTGGGGGAACTGATGCAGAACAAGTGTTGGTAGGGCAGTTACCAGCCCCCTTCCCTGGCTTTTGCCTGGTGAGGGGAGGCTCCAGAAGACCTTCCCTCCCCCAAGCAAAGGGAGAGAGACCAATCGGAACTAGGGTGGGGAGGAATTCCAGGAAAAAGAGGATTGATGGGGGGATGGGAAGTTGGGCTCCAGAGGGCAGATTTGGGAGTCACCGGCCGGAAGAAGTTAGAGGACAGGGCCAATGCGGAAGAAGTTAGGGGACAGGGCCAATGTGTCTGGAGCCCGCTGTCCGGCGGGGTGGGGAACTGGGAAGAGGTTCAGATTTCCAGATGGCAAGATCGGATGTCAGGCTTCCACAGTGGATGCTGGGGCGTTCTGAGGCTGAAGAGTGGGAGGGACAAGTCCCAGCGGACTGGAGGGAGTCGGAAGGGTCCTGAGGTCAGAACGGGTGGTGATCCCAAAGCTAAAGGGTCATAGGGTAGGGCGGCGGTTGTCCCTAGGCAGGGGGCCGGCGCACTCACCTCTACCCGGGCTCGGGCCAGGCCTTGTAGACGGTTCCAGTCGGGCCGGAAAGTGGTGGCGGCGGCCGCGAGTGCCGCGAGAAGCAGCAGCAAAGGCGGCGGAGGCAGCGGTAGGTGCATTGAAACCGGGCCGAAGATGATCCGCAAGCTGGAGGTGAACCGCCGGGCCACTGCGCCACGTCTGGACCCGAGGGCTGGCCCTGTCCCCGCTCGAGGTCCCGCCCCACTGGGGACCACGCCCCCAGCTCTCGGTATCCGCCCCAGGGCCGGCGTGGGGGCCTCTCGCGCACTTCCGACGGGGTTTGGGCTCCTCTCTGGCCCTCAGCCCTTTACTTTCCCGTCCTGAGAATGTCCACCCAGCCTGTGCTGACCGAGAGCGCTGACGCTCCGACAGGATGCGGCCAGACAGTTCCCCCTCACGCCGGCAGGTGGCGCAAGCGAGATGCGGACGGACACGGGAATTTCTGGGCCAGACGCTCGACTTGAAAACGGGGAAATTAAGGCTTAGAGAATCCTTGTTTGTGTTTTTTATTTCTCTGGACGAAATTCTGATGTGGGTTTCAATTCTCTGGAGCACATGTTGTGGCTATAGGAATATTACGTCGTACTCTGTAGGGGCTAGGAGGATAAAAGGGTTAATACACAATAGAAAGCTCTTTAGAACAGTACCTGGCGAGGTACCTTAAAAAGGGCCCCATGAACTCCGTTTTACAGGTTAGGAGACAGGCTCAGAAAGCTAAGACGATTAAGCTGTGGATCTGGGGTTCGAACTGAAAATGTCCTTTTGCTGATCTCCCCAAACCCAAGATGCTACCTCCCCTCCTCGAGCCTAAGGCAGACAAAGCAAATCGATCTCAATGCTCTTTCCCACTAAATCTAGACTGAGACACAGAATCCTCTTCAACAAGTCAAGCCTGCATTACGGCTTTATGGGCCCTAACCAGTTTTGCCTTCCTGGGCCCCCTCTTCTATCAAAAAAATCATCATCATCATCATCATCATCATCATCATCATCAGATTTTACAACTGCTTTGATGAAAAGATGGATATAATCCAATCTGGGTTCATTATTATTTATTCATTTTTAGAATTATGGCTTTAAAATAAGTTAAAATTAAAACATTTCTGTGGACCCCTAAAAGTAGGATGGATCCTAGACACTGAGCCTAATACGTAAGTCAGGTGTGCATGGAGCCCTTTGTTCATAACCTGCTACCTTCCATTTACTGACTTGATTGTAAAGATATAATAATAATAACAATAACAACAACACTAGTAATAATAAGCTTACAGCTGTTATTTAATATCCATTCTCTATAAGTACATGAGGACACAATAAATGTAATTGATTCTATCCAGATTATTGACATGATAGGCTATGTCTAGCATTCTATTTACTGCTGAGGAAGTGGGAATTCACCCAAGCTTTCTGAAAGGCAACTTGACACAACAAATCAAAACCCTAAAATATTTCTTCTACCCAGTCATTCTGCTTCTCAGAATTTGACCCAAAGTAATCTTCAGAGAGGAGACCAATTGTCTGGTCAAGACGTTTATCCAAACACTGTTTATCATGGTGAAAAACAAGAAATGACAGAAGCATGTCACAGCCGGGGATGAGTAAAATAAATGATAGTACCTCCTTTGGATAGAAGACTATGCAATTTTTCTTAATGATGCAGCATACTGCTGTTGGGAGTTGTGATGCTCTGGGTTTCAAGTCACAGAAACTTCAAGTTAAACCAGCTTAAACAATAAAAGTAATCTGTTGGCTCAAATAACAAAATAATCCAGGTGGGGAGGGATTTAGGTGGGGTTTGATCTGGTTGATAAAGTCACCAAGACCTGATCTGTCTCCATTCTGCTTTCCATAGTGTCAGCTTATCATTAGCCCAGTTACCTGTGTGGTGTCAAGATGGCTGCAGGACCACCACAGGCTTCTTCATTCATATCTAATCAGGGGAAATCAATCTCTCTCCCCCCCCCCTTTTTAACTTCTCAAGCTTTCTTTCCCAAAAGTCCTCAGCAAAAGTCTCTTTGTATCTCACTAGTCCATCCATGATCCAACCAGTGGCCAGGGGAATGGAAAATGCTCCCTGGCTTAACCAGTTGGGACCCATTCCTGAAGGCTGTCAAGAATATCGACTACAGTGGAGGCTGTGGCAGCCAATCAATTTTATCAAATATGTATGTATAAATATACATACCTAGACCAAAAGGCAAAATCTAGACAGACACAAGCCACTAAGTCAAAATGGTCAACTCTTGGTAAATGAAATTATAGGTGAATTTATTTTCTCCTTTACAATATTTTTCTGCATTTTCTATAATAAATAGAAACACAAACAGTAAAGTCTGTTTATAAAAACAATGGGACATAGGCCATAGGTTTCCTCTACACCCAGCAAGAGCCTCAGAGTGGCTGAAG